TGTACGATTACTAGTGTGGTGATAATGAAGGCTAGGATGAAATGGAAGGTGAAGAATTGAGTCAGAGTAGCTTTATCTACTGAGAATTCCCCTTAAATTTATTTCACAAGGTCTGTGCCAATGTATGGGATGGTTGAGAGGAGGTTGGTAATGACTGTTGCTCCTCAGAATATTTGTCCTTATGGGAGAACATAGCCCATGAATGCTGTCATTGTGACAGCAAATAGGAGAATTACTCCAGTGTTTCAGGTTTCAAGGAAGGTGTATGAACCATAGTATAAGCCTCAGCCTACATGCAGGACTAGGCAGACAAAAAATATTGATGCACCGTTGGCATGCAGGTAGCGGATAACCCATCCGTAGTTTATGTCTCGGCAAATATGTGTGACTGAGGAGAAGGCTGTGGTAGTGTCTGCAGTGTAGTGTACAGCTAGGAATAGGCCTGTAATGATTTGCAGGATTAGGCAGATTCCTAAAAATGAGCCAATATTTCATTAAGATGAGATATTTGAAGGGGCTGGAAGGTCAATAAATGAGTGGTTAATAATTTTCAGTAGTGGGTGCTTTTTTCATATGTTGGTCATTAGGTTCTTATAGTTGAATAACAATGGTGGCTTTTCATGCCTTAGGTCATGGTTAGACTCCATGTGAGAATTATGCCATATGTTGTATTTATGCTTAGGGTGTTATTTGTTATTCGTTTTGTGGGATTTTCTTCAAAACCCTCTCCGATTTATGGCGGGTTCGGGTTGATTGTGAGTGGTGGACTTGGTTGTGGTATTGTTGTAGGTCTTGGGGGTTCATTCTTGGGGTTAATAGTTTTTTTGATCTATTTATGGGGAATACTAGTGGTATTTAGTTACATGACTGCCATGGCTACAGAGGAATACCCTGAGATCTGGGGATCTAATGTTGTTATTTGAGGCAGCTTGTTGTTGGTTATTATTATAGAGTTAATAGTAGTTGTGTGAATGATTGGGTGTGATGCCAATTTTGTTGTTAGTTTAAAGGGTTTGGAGGTTTGAATGTTTTTTGATAATAGTAATTCAGGTTATTTTCGTGAAGATTCGTTGGGAGTGGCATCTCTTTATGATTATGGTTATTGATTAATAGTTGTAGCAGGGTGGAATTGGTTTATTAGTATTTTTATTGTAATTGAAATTACTTGTGGGGTTAGATTACTATAAATAGTGCTAGAATTAAGGAGATGAGAAAGGATAGGAAATACAGTTTGATTTGTCCTTCTTGATTAGAAATTTTAAATGAGGCTGCAAGTTGTATGTTAGAAATGGATTTTGGTAGGGCTATTTCTAGTCATGTTATATCTAGGAGTATTGATGATAGGTTTTAGCTTATTTTTAAGCTTGTGTATGGGATCAGACAGTGGATGATTATTGGGTAATAACCTAGTATAGTTGAGAATTTATAAAATGGTGATAGACAATTGCATTTTAAGTTGAAAGTAATAAGGTTTAACTCTATGGTGATGGAGAATCCTATGATAGTTACAAATAGGGCAGAGAGTTTTAGATACAGAGGTATTGTTATTTGGGGGGTAGTTATTGGTATAATATTATTGGAGATTAAGAATCCTGCGAAGATACTTCCTATTGCGAGACGTTTAACTGAGTTAATTAGAAGTGGGTTGTTTTCGTTGACGGTAATAGTTGATGGGTAGCGCGGTTGACCTATGAGAGCATAGAAGATAATTCGTGTGCTGTAGATGGCCGTAAGGGATGTGGCAATGAGAGTAGTGAGGAGGGTGCAGGCATTGATATATGAGGTGTTTGCTGTTTCAATGATTAGGTCTTTAGAGCAAAATCCTGTTAGAAATGGTATGCCTGTCAGAGCCAGGCTGCCAATCGTTGGGGGCTGATGAGGTGAATGGTAAACTTTTATATAGTCCTCCTATTTTATGGATGTCTTGTTCATCATTGAGGCTATGAGTGACGGAGCAGAGCATATAAATAGCATTGCTTTGAAGAATGTGTGTGTGCAGATGTGTAGGAAAGCTAAATGGGGTTGGTTAATTCCAATTGTTACTATTATTAGGCCCAGTTGGCTAGATAGGTAGAGAATGCTACAATTTTTTAAATGTCATTTTGTGTAAGTGTGCAGATAGCTGTAAATAGGGTGGTGATAGCTCCTAGGCATAGGGCTAATGATTGAATTGTTTTATTTTGTCCTAATGGGGGTAGAATCGAATTAGAAGAAAAATACTTGCTATTACTATAGTGCTCGAGTGCAGTAGTGCTGATACAGGTGTTGGACCTTCTATTGCTGATGACAGTCAGGGATGAAGACCAAATTGGGCTGACTTGCCAGTGACTGCTAGGAGCAGGCCACAGAGTGGATTAAAATTGTTTTGTCACCAAGTGAGATTTGTTGTAGGTCTCAGGTGTTGAAATTGATTGTGAATCAATTATCTTACCCTATCCAGATGTTTCAGTCAGATTGTTTGTCTCTCTATTAAGTCTGATTGGGGTCAGTTGCTGTGTGATATCAGGGCCCCTGATGAAGGAGGACCTGAGAAAAGACCAGGTGGCACAGCCTTATTCTATTCTGAGGCCCCTTTGTCCCAGCAGGTCTCTTCTGCTGACCCGGTGGCTCAAGGAACCAGCATGGTTGGCTTCCTAGTCAGGGAACTAGAAAAGTTGCAGAAACAGACCATGAGAAACCAAGCACCACTCAGAGAATAGGGGAACTCAGGTTTATTATACCGGTGGACCCAGAGAAGTTTGTATTCCAAATTTTGAACCCTGACTTGGGAAAGGGTGCAGGGTTTATAAAGCGTCTAGTTCTGGCCCAAGGTAATGTCTTTTGAAACTGTTCAAACCAGTTAGGTGTTTAAACCACAGCAAATCAACCTGTGGCTAGGTCTCAGAAAGCCCCAGGCTGGGGGCCACATCCTGTCTTGCAAGCAGGTCACAGAAGCAGAACAGCATTTGGTTGGACACATCCTGTCTTGCAAGCAGGTTACAGAAACAGAATAGTGATTAACTGGTAGCAGACAGGATCCATATTAATGTGTCTATGTGGCCTTAAGGAATTCCATTAATTTTGATTTATAAAAAAAACTGCTCATACAAATTGAAATGCTTCTTAAGTTCACATGATAATAGACTGGCTTCAGATATGGTTTAAAAGAATTTAATAAGTGGAGATCTTCATAGTTTCCAACATATAGTTTGTCCAGGGCTTATTAATCAGGCAACATCATATTTGTCTTAATATGGTTGGTTTAATGAAATAGCTGGTATTTATATGTTATATATTGTATGTTACATGGTGAATATCTGACTATCAAGAAAAATAAATTGATGACTAGCTTTCTCTGATATCTTGGTTTTCATAGGTAAACAAAACATAATGGTTAAAATTTTAAAAACATGATTATAAATGGACTATTTACTGGTAAAGTTTTCAAATAATTTAAAAATCTTGAAGTTGTGCTTAATTGAGGGACCAGCAGTTGGCGTAATGGCTGTGTCACTGGACTCCCATGTAGTCGACCGTGGTTTGAATCCTGGACCCAATGACTTAAACACATGCCAGGTGTGTGTGCATGCGTGTCCAAGATTCCGAGAGGAGAATGGAGGAGAAGGGATTACGGCATGGCCATCTCCCCTTGGGGGTGATTTCTCACTTTCTGTCTCTCTGTCTCTCTCTGTCTTTCTGGCGAGTGCACGTTCCCTATAGCAAAAACCTCTCCGCCCCCCCCACCAAAAAAGAGAAAAGTTGTGCTTAATTGAAATGACAAGGGTTCATAAAAAAAGTCTAAGTCATCTTTAAATAAGTTAACATGTTTTGACTAACATAAAGTTTAAATATTTCTACTGAAATTTTACAAAAATGAAAGATATTGTATCTGTTAACAAGATTGTTCTATTCTACACTGGAAAAATTTATTAAACAGTTTTTGTTCACTTGTAAAATACATGTTCATAAGCTGCTAGTATGAACAATTTTAAAAGCTAAAGTTGCTAAGAATTAAAAATTCTAGTAAATATGTAAAGTCCTACATACAAAGTTACAAGTTGGTGGCCTTTCCAGGAGTATCACATTACCTAGGCTAGGAAAAGAAAGAGTTGCTTTGATGCTTGATAAAACCTCAGATAATTCTTAATGTGACGAACAAAATATATTCCTTAAAAATAATAGTTTCTGTCTAATTGATTGGAGGTAACAATTAGTTTTCCAAAGACAAATTTGTAAAGGAAAGAGGAACAAGGTAGAAAGAAAACAGTAAGTAGGAAAGACATAGGATTTTGTCAGATGGAAGGTGTGACAAGATGGCGTTGTGCTAATATTAAGTGTCAGCCCACAGAGCTAGTAATACTGCAGTGTGATGCCCTGGGCAGGTGAAGTTCATCACAAGAAAGGTGATCTGCTGAACGACGTGGCTGCCGCTGCCCCACCATGTACAGTGTTACCAGTCTCCCATTATGGATCACTCTCAGTGTGTTCATGCCTAGCTATTCCCAGTACCTTTACTCATGTCACTACTGAATTTTGGCAGGAGGAAGGAATGGAACGATAGCTTTTTTTAATTTTAAAGCTTTTAGTGAAACATTACCTACATGAAGAAAAGGAACAAGGTTTATTTAAAAACTTTGCTGCCATATAGCGCCAGTGGATAGTACTCTTGGCATTGTCTTTGTCTTCCCTGAAACGTCTCGCTCTGTGAAGCCAGCATCTAGGGTCTCAGTGGAAAAGGAGAGCAGCATGCGTGGTCTGTACCAGCACCCAGCGAAACCCCCCAGAGCTTCTCCTCCTGTACAGATCTCTTGAGTCTGCTTAAGTGATTGCTCTTTTTCTTTATTATTTTCTTATATTTCCATATGTATAGTGTAATAGCCTTTTGTTAACTAATTTTCTTTTTTCCTTTTAGTTAAGCACGATCATATCCCCTTTTAAGCCTTACCAGAGAGAAGCAATGCCTTACAATAAAAAAGGCGTTAATGACATGAAACTGCACAAAATAACTTTCTTCTACTTACTCTGTACTTTGCCCTCTTGAGTGCCAATGTTCTGTGAAGACATTCACAGTGAATTGCTGAAAAATATCACAAGAATCATGTCAAGAATTATTGCAAATATATAGGCCACACTGTATACAGACTTCAGCAGTGGGTGACACACAGTGTTTTGTCTTCCACAGTGAAGCGTAAAACAAAAGGTATTTTTAACCCGCTGACAGAGCTTGCTTCATCTGCTTGGTGCCCCACAGAACGTTCCTAAGAGATTATTGGAAAAGTACAGATTCAAAACCAGTGACAGCAGCAGTACCCACAGCCCTGTGGTTGGAGAGAAGTTTAATACTTTACCGTTGGGGCAATACATTTCTAAACCTGACTTGGTGGCAGTGTCATGTGTATTTGTAAAACAAGGCTAGTCACACTTAAGACAACTGAAGAAAAGCTGGGAAAAAAAAAAAGAAAAAATAAGCAAAATTGAACACTGAAGAAACCTCAAGCATCTCTTTATTTTGATGATATATTTTTGTAAGGAAAATAGATATTCAGATGATCAGGAATGTATATAACTAAATGAAATCAGAAAAGAAATAACAGTATGCATTTAAAAAGACAGAATTATGAAATTACATATCAGTGCTTAGAGTGGGGCTAAGGGATGTGCTGAAATACAGCAAAAGATAGGGAATAATGTAGACTGTCACCCCTGTAAATATTTGCAAGTGATTCTATTTTAAATAAACAGGAAAATTACAGGTGATTTCTAGAAATGTCAAGGTCTTGACTTTCAGGGTTTGCATTTTGTGTATGGGAAGAAGTACAACAATACTAGTTAATTAGACAATAGACCCAAAACCCTTACGTTGATGCATTTTGTTTTAAAAACAGGCCTTGTTTTTCAGCTTCATCTGCAGTTCTATATAAAAATGGACAAATCAGTTTTTACTTGTTTTATTAATAAAATATAATTTGGATATCTTGAATTTATAGTTTTGTGATTTAGCTGGGTAAACTATCTTTGTAACAAATAAGTTATTTATAAAAATAAAAAAACTTATATCCTAGGGACCAGCTGTTAGCCACACCACAATCCCTTCTCCTTCATTCTCCTCTTGGTATCTTGGGCATGCAGGCACACACGCCCGGAGTGAGTTTAAGCCTCTCGGTACAGGACTTGAACCATGGTTGACTACATGGGAGTCCAGTGACATAGCCATTATGCCAACTGCTAGTCCTAAGTTTGTCATTTTTAAGATGGACCAAATAATGAGTGATAGGATTACATCCTGGGTCAAGGCCATATTTTCTCTTTTTACATTTATTGTCTGTGAAAATTACACATAAAATAGTGTGTATGTGTGAATGCTGTTCATCAGGCCCTTGTTCTGCTAGTTTCCAAATGTAACAAGCTATGCATTATAGCCTTGCATGCCTCAGGCACTAGGGTTGGCTAAATGAAGAGGAAGTAGTATGTGAATGTTAGGAAGGTGAATGAGGACGAGCAAATGTTGTTTAGTTGGTGCCAAATCTGCTATTGCCCACAAGCAAGGATTCAGGTGCTAGAGGAAGATGATTTGCTTATATTTTTGGATGCTGTAAAAATTTAAACAGTGACTTAGACCACTTTGTTTCCTTTTATACCATCATAGACAGCTTTGGTCTATTATGAAGATAGATTCAGAGGAGCTAGGGATTTGTTCAGGAAAGGACAATTGCAGCAAACTGATTGAGGTGTTAAGGACTGTGGTGTGCTCACTTCTGTGCTTGATTTAACTGATGAGTTTGTGTAACTAGTAGGCTTGCTTTAGGCCTATTTAGAGGTAAAGTGAGTTGATGCATTTAAGTCAATATTTTAAGGCAGTTGTTCTCATCCTTATTTTACATAATAATAACATGGAGATTTCCTGCCCCACCCCTCAGTGAGGATTCCTAGCTCTATTCACAAAGATTCTGATAGGGGAGGTCCAGCTATTATTTAGGAATTATAATTTTTATAAACACCACACATTTAATTTTATAATTGCTACCAAGTGCTCATTTTGAATAAACACTAATTTAAGGATACATTTTTAGAGGAGGAAATGTGAAACATAAAAAAATAAATTTGCTACCCTAGATGGTGTAGATAGGAAAACAACTCACTGGAGACCTGTTACACCCTAGTTTCCAACTGCAGTATTGTTTCTGCCTGGATATTTGCAGGAACACACCTCATGCTGCAACACTGTGCTAGAATGCAAAACTGAAGGTGTTTCAGAATTGAGCCTCAAAGGATAAAGAAATGGAAAGGATAAGCTAAAAGAGATGTAGAGGAAAAGTCTAGAAGTGCTGTCACCTCTGACTCTACGATGATTTTCAGAGGGAGAGGTCAGAATGAATATGGTAGAAAATTGATCAAAGAAATAGTCAAAGGCCATTTCTGAAGACTCAGTAAGAACTGATCTTTCGTATTGAAAGTGTGCATCAAATACTGAACAGAATAAATGCTACTACTACTAATTATTATACTATTGTCATAAATGTTACTATGTTTAGAAATATCCTGTTGTGGGTCCAGCAGATGTCATGGCAGTTAAGGCAGCTGGATCCCACATGGCCAGTTGAGTGGTTTGAGTCTGGACCTGGTGACTTGAAAAACACACTAGACACATATGTGTGCATGCACAAAGTCCTGAAAGGAGAATGGAGAAGGATTTGCAGCATGGTCATCCCACTGGGGGACAATTTCTCATTTTCCGCCTCTTTTTTCTCTCTGGTGAGCACATATACCCTATAGAAATGAAAATGAAAGAAAGTAAGAAAGATTTTGACATTTTTATTCTCTTAGAATACAAAGTAAAGGGTTTAATGGGTAAATAAATGAAGAAACAGTTATTTACAGGTAAGTTAAAACCAGACTGATATGGAGGTTCCAACAGAAGCACTGGAGACTCTGGGATATTATAGCACTATCAATAATATTGTTAGAAATGTGATTTAGATACTAAGATTATATATCAACCAAGTTAGGAAAGGAACAAACATTACTATTTTTTTTTTTGAGAGGTTTTTCACTATAGGGCGCGTGTGCTCGCCAGACAGACAGAGAGAGACAGAGAGACAGAAAGCGAGAAATCACCCCCCCAGAGGGGATGGCCACGCCGCAATCCCCTCTCCTCCATTCTCCTCTTGGGATCTTGGGCACGCACGCACATGCGCCCGGCATGGGTTTTAAGCCACCGGGTCCGGGACGCGAACCACGGTCGACTACGTGGGAGTCCAGCGACATAGCCATTACGCTAACTGCTGGTTCCCAAACATTACTATTGATGTACATAACTATTTTTTTTTTTTGAGAGTTTTTTGCTATAGGGCACGTGTGCTCGCCAGAAAGACAGAGGGACAGAGAGACAGAAAGCGAGAAATCACCCCTGGGGGTGGGGTGGCCATGTCACAATCCCTTCTCCTCCATTCTCCTCTTGGGATCTTGGGCACGCACCCACACGCGCCTGGCATGAGTTTAAGTCACCGGGTCTGGGACTTGAACCGCGGTTGACTACATTGGAGTTCGGCGACAAAGCCATTACGCTATCTGCTGGTCCCAATGTACATAACTATTGTAGAATGTATACATATATAAAAAAGAACAGATTTTAATTAAAATCCCAGAAGGTTCAATTTGTACATGGTATTTTATGGATGAGGAAAGTTTGTATTTGTGGTGGACACAATGAATATGTGCAAAGTTGATAGAAAATTATTTTTGCATTTATCAGATAATGATGAAGGGTAGTCATGACACACATAAAAGGGGGATTATATCCTAAATAGTGGAGTAATAACATGAAACAGCTCTCAGTCAGCACTACAAAGTCAGAGAAAAAAATCCAATGAAACCAGGAAATATGAATATGCATGAAATAAAATGGCAGAAATAAGCCAGAATTTCTTTTCCTAGATGTATGAAAATATACAAGACACACTCCTGAAAATGTTCATGGCACTCTATTCATAACAAAGTCACAAACTGGAACCAATCAAATGGCCATTCACATCCATACTGGCAAAATGTGTCATAGTCATACAATGAAATGTGATATAATAGCAAAAATAAATGCCAAAGCTACACACAATAATATGGGTTGATATCACAGTATTAAGTTATGAGAAAGAAGCCAAACACGAATACATACTCTGTGAGTCCTGTAAGGGAGTATGAACGACTGGCTAAAACAACCTATTTCCATCTTCCCAGTCACAGGCTCTAAAGTGAGTCATCTTTGACTCCTCCCTTGCCTGCATTCTCCACGATCAGACATCATTCATTATTTCACATGAAATTTACACACACTTTTTGATCTCCTTCATTTGGTGAGTCAGTGAGGCTAGAGTGATAAATAAAAGAGGTCTGAGAAGGTCCCTTGATTCTGCAGCTTGAGAGGAGGCTTAGATACAGAAAACAGCTATGGCTTATTATTCACCATTTTGTGTTCCGAGGAAAGGCTTACTGCAAACTACCTGTCTTCCCCATATGACTTAGATAAAAGTCACGTCTCTTGTTTTTCACTTATACCAGGACAAACATACCCTTTAGATTCCTATTCTTTGCTTTAAAAAAGATGAATGGAACTGTTTATCTCCACTGACCAATAGGAACAAAGTGCTTAATAATGTGACCAGACATTAGATAAACTTCTCTTTTTCTTTCAGTTTCCAGAACTTTACCTCCCCTCTTCCTGACCCAGAATATAAGCCCTCTTTTTTTAAAAAAATTTAAAATAATTCTTTATTCATTATAATTGTTACTTTTTAAAAATTTGCTACAGGGCCTGCACACTTACCAGAGAGAGACAGAAAAGGTGAAAAGGCAAACTGCCAGGCCTGGGACTCGAACTGCAGTTAGTGATCTAGGAGTTCAGTGCATTAATCACCATGCCACATGCTGCCCCTGCATTAATCATTATGCCATATGCTGCCCTCACAAGCTCTCCTTAAGGCACCTCTCCTGGGAACCTGCTGATCTCTGTGAAAAATCTCTGTGAAAACACACTCCATCAATACTGGGCTTTTAATAACTTTAATGACCTTTACCATGAAAGAAAATCCCTTTCTGCCTGGTCTTCAGATGCTTGGAGCTCTTATGGTTGAGTTGTCCTTTATTGCAGGAATCCCCAATCTCTGGGCCATGGACCAGTAATGGTTCATATTAATAACAGTGTAATAATAAAATAAAGTACACAATAAAAGTAATGTGCTTGAATCATCCTGAAACCATCCCCCACCCTTCCCTAGTTTGTGGAAAAATTATCCTCCATGAAACTGTTCCCCAGTGCCAAAAAGATTGGAGGCTGCTGCTCTAAAGCAATAGTCTCCTTCCTGTTGTTGTAGCAATAAAATTTGAATAAAATCTCTCTTATGTCAGAATTTACTTTCATTTAGTAATTAGATTTTGAGATTGTTTCTTTTCTATTTATGTTATGTACTCACTGTCCCTCCAGATTTAAAGTTTTCTTTTTTTTGTTGTTGTTTTTTTTAGAGGATGTATATGCTTGCTAGAGAGGGGGGAAGGACCCACAAATGGGGCATAGTTATAGTTATGTCTAAATCTGTCTCCTTTTCTCCATCCTGTCAGCAATTCAAGTATGGACACACATGTGCCTGGCATGTTTTTCAAGCCACAAGGGGTGGGACTTGAACCAATGTTGACCATACAGGATCTGGCTCCCTAAACCAGTAGGCCAAGGGACTGGCTTTCCAGCTACCTTTTGGAGTCATGAGTAGCAAAATCGATATTTGTATTTTTAGTGTGGCCTAATATTCCTGCTTCTATTGTTCCCTGTAACTGTTTCTGCCTATTTCTTGTTGCTCTTTTGGTCTCTGTTCTGTTTTTATATCTCTGTGTATCCCATTTCCCATATTCTTCTTCACTTACCTGTCTCCTTCAGTCACGCTCCTGTCTTCAGGTTGCTCCAAAGAGATCTGAGTAGAGAAAACTTCCTTCCCCGAGGTGGTCGGCAGCTTACTGAGCTCGAGCCAGTTCTTTCACTGTGAGGCAGAGGACTGAATTTATACAGAAAGCAGGAACAAAAAACTGGTTTCACTTTTGTTTCTGCTATGTCAATCTTTAAAACAAAATCTGCTGATCGTAAGGAAGCCTAGGGAGTTGGATTTTTTCCTGTGCTGGTGAATATAAAATCATAACTTAGAACAACTTCTAATGTTCATAGTACCTATATGGCATCTGTAGTTAAAATAATTTATTGTCTATTTCAGATTAAAAGAAATTTAAACATTCTCAACATGAAGTAATGACAAATATTTGAGATGACAGATATGCTAATGACCATGATTTGATTATTATGCATCATATTCACACACTAAAAAATCAAAATGTACTCACAAATACATACACTTATGTGCCAGTTTTAAAAAAGGAAGCCTATTTATGTTGTATTGTGATTCCTAGATTTAAAAATTAATGAAATACTGAAAAAGAAGACTAATCTTGATCTATGTGTGTGTGTGTGTGTGTGTGTGTGTGTGTGTGTGTATGTGTGTATACCAGTGGTGGGGGTGGGATGAGCACGTGTAAAGAGTAAGGCAGAAACAGGCTACAAAAAGAATTTGAAAGAAGAGACATAGAAACAGTGTAGATTTTATTCCTCAAGGGAAGTGCTATAATAGATTTTACTGTTCCCTGTCTCAGATTACTTAAGGAGAAAGAGAAGTAGGTTCTCTCTTTGTGTCAACTCAACTCTAGATTCTATTTCCTAGAAGAGTTCTTTGTATTAAAATTAGCTCTGTTTTTCTACAGTAGTTTGTTTGAAAATTAACCAAGGATCTAGATCATATTAGCAGGGCTGGATGATTTGACACTAAGGTGAGGTGAGCTAAGCTCTCTTTTTTTCTAACCAACTGAGTTTTATTTTTTACATAATAAGTCACTTAACATCTTTCAGCTAAAAAATACTAAATTTGAATAAAGATATTACATAATGAATTAGAGTCCAGTTAAAATTAGCTTTGGGGGAGGGAACACAATTCTACTCAATTAAGAAAAATATTTTTATATACCATAGTTTAGTTTATTTTTAACACCCATCATGCCATGAATTCATAGGGAATTGGTTCCAGAAGCCCAGGCTCCTTTCCACTGGTTCTGACAAAGTGTGCTTCTGGTGGAGCAGGCTGGTGCTTTAGTTGAACCCAAGTACCTTTCTCTTAGGCTTCCTTCTTTTTCTGGTCATTTTCCTTCACAGATTTTAGGAAGTTTTCTCTGCTATTAGAATACTTAATATGCTCAATATGCACATTAATTCTCTTGGCAAAAATCTTGCCCTTAACTTGTTTACAACAATGCCAGTGGCATGCTGGGTAACATTGTAGACTCCTCCAGTTTTGCCATGGTAACACACACACACACACACACACACACACACACCTGCCATGTTCTCAAGCTACTGGGTCTGAAACTTGGACTGCACTGTAGACCATATGGGATCCAGTGCTTTAACCTCCATGCCATCTGTGGCCTTCACTGTTCTTTATATTAGAGGCTTTTAGTGATGCTATTTCTGATGATTTATCCTGAACTCTAAACGCTATAAGACATGCTATGTTTGAAACTATCTTTCTCGATAATACAATTCATCATAATATTGCTTATGGACAGTATCTTCTGCTCACAGTTCTTCTGTTTCTGTTTTTTTTTTTTTTAATTTTTTTTTTCATTTTCTAAATTTGCCAGAGGATGCATGCGCTTGCTAGAGAGAGAAAGAGACAAAGGAAAAGTGAGAAAGTATCCCTTTGGCAGATGGTCAGGCTGCAGTCTCTTCTCCAGTTCTCTCTCCTTTAGGGGTTTTGGACACACACACACACACACACACACACACACACACCCCACACCTCTGGTGTGTTTTTCAAGCTGCTGAGTCTGGAGCTTGATCCATACAGTCATCCATGTGAGATCCAGCTGGCCTGACATTTTGTTTCAAAATTTTATGGTCTGGCACATGTGTATTTTTCTAGGTCAATTTTTTTTTTCAGAGAGATTTTTGCTATAGGGCACGTGTGCTCACCAGAGACAGAGACAAAAAGTGAGAAATCATCCCCTAGGGGGGTGACCATGCCACAATCCCTTCTCTTCCATTCTCCTCTCAGGACTTTGGACATGCACATACATGTTCCTGGTGTGAGTTTTAAGCTGCTGGGTCCAGGACTTGAACTGGGGTCGACTGTGGGAGTCCAATGACATGACCATTAAGCCATCCACTGGTCCTTCCAGGTCAATTTTATACTCATTTTGTCAAATTCCCCCGAACTCCTTCCCACATGGTCCCATATTTTCCACTCCTGCTCCTGGGACATCTGTGCAGCTCCCCCTGCATGGAACTATGTGGCATGTCTGTGCTGTATTCCTGTGGCCCTTATGCTACATATTTATACTGCACCTATCATACTGTGCTGCACTGGAGCTGTCTGCTTGTCTATAATGACTTCTGTCCCCTAAACTTCAGACACCCCACCTCCCCATGCTCCTCTCTCTGGGAGTTTCTGACTTATTGGTTCTATATCCCTACTCTAGACGGAGTATGTGAAATATATAGGTGTTTGAGAAATATATGATTATTGATTAAGCGAATTAGCTTATTTATCTGAGCCAGTTTCCTCAGGTGTATGTGGGATATTAATACCTATTTCAATGACCTGATGTGAGGAAAAAGGGACATAAGGGCACCAAGAAGACATTACTAAGACATTACTCTTTTTCTTCAGAGTGGAAACACAGATGCTTTCTTTTTTGTTTGTTTTTGGGTTTTTTAAAGTCATATGTTCATTTTAGTTTTAAAAATCTGAATTCAGAATTAACACAAGGTAAAATTTTGAAGTATTTCTCTTCTCATTGTGATCATTACGGCACTGTTTATGTGTACACACCCAAATCCTTTTATCAGAGGATGCAGTAGACTACAGGGCTCTGGCATTTAACAGTGCTTACATATAATGTACTAGTAAACATTTTATTTTGAAAATAAAAGTGATATAATCTGAGACTGGTGGATGGTGTAATGGTTATGTCGTTGGACTCCTGCATAGTTAAGTGCGGTTTGAGTCCTGGACCCTGCAGCTTAAAATTAATGCTAGACAGGTGTACATGTATGCCCAAAATCCCTAGAGAAAAATGAAGGAGAAGGGATTGTGGTGTGGCCATTCCCCCTTGGGAGGTGACTTCTTTTTTTCTCTCTGTTTCTGTCTCTGTGTCTCTGGTGAGAGCACATGCCCTTTAGCAAAAATCTCTCTCTCTCAAATAATAAGTGGTATAATCTATTTAGAAAGTCTCAAACAATTGAAACAAATATGTACTGAAACAAAATTTCAAACAGAAATTCAAACACATTGGCAAAGCCAAACATAACATGTATCTTCATCTATCAACAAAAATACCAAAAATAATGACTTACATATATGTAAACCAAGTGTAGCAATTTCACATTTCAATAAAAACTGCTATTCTGTCACACACTATCAAAGTCTGTTCTCCAAATAATTTGAGGAAATTTCAAGTATAAAGCAAATGAAGATTAAAAAGTAAACAGTGGATTTATAAAGTTTTTCAGAGATTTGCATGTTAGTAATTTACAAACACATTATTTTATATTTATGGTTTGAAACACAATTTTCTTGAGTATGTTTTCTGCCTGGTTGGGAAAATTAAAACATAATTTTAAAAATAACTTTTATTTTGATTTTTGTTGAATACACACGAAATTTTACCCATCTAATGTTTTTGGGAAATTTTTAAGACATCTCTAAAATAACTAACAATTATAACTGTTTTAAATAAAGGGCTACTTGGGACCAGCAGATGGCCTAATGATTATGTTGCAGGACTCCCACATAGTTAACCATAGTTTGAGTCCCAGACCCTGAAACCTAAAACTCATGCTGGGTGCGTGTGCGTGTATGCCCAAGATCCTGAGAGGAGAATGGAGGAGAAGGGATTGCGGTGTGATCATGCCCCTGGGGGGTGATTTATTGGTTTGCGTCTCTGTCTCTCTCTGCCTGTCTAGTGAGCACACGTGCTCTATAGTAAAAATCTCTCTAAAAAATAAAGGAAGAAAGACAGAAAGAAAGAACTATTTGAATGGCTATAGAAATTTAGTTGGGTCAAGGCCAGCAGATGGTTTGGTAGTTAAGGCCCTAGACTCCCATATGGCTGACTATGGTTCAAGTCCTGGATCTAGCAGCTTGCTTTCTCGCCTTTTTCCTCTCTGTCGCTCTCTGGTGAGCGTGTGTGCCATGTAGCAAATTAAAATAATAATAATAATGATAAATAAAATTTAATAAATAATTCTTTAAAAAATAGGTCTAAGAGCTCTGAGAATTGTATGGTATGTGTTTCATACAACTGCAATGATTTCCTAACTTAAAACTATCATAGCTTATTTTAACAAATTTGGAATGACACTACCTTCTCAGTGAAAAAGAGATAATCAGTAATTCCAGCTCAGATGACCAAAAGGAAAAAAGTTTGATTAACATTATACGTGGAGTAATACTTGAAAGGAAATGAACCCTTCTAATTCTTCACGCCAGCAGGTGGTGTGGAGGTTAAGGCAGCTGTATCCCACATGGCCGAGTATGCTGAGTCCAGGACCCATTGGCTTAAAAAATACAACAGGCACATGTGTGTGTGTGTGTGTGTGCTCAAAATCCTGGAGGGAAGAATAGAGGAGACTGCATTTTGGCCATCCCCCCTGGGGGGGTGATTTCTCACTTTCTCTCTCTTTCTCTCTCCTTTCCCCATCTCTCTCTAGCAAGTACATGTGCCCTACAGCAAAACCAAAAATAATTTAGAAAATTAACCTTTTTTGCCCAGCACAGTATTGAAATACCTCATCTTGAAACTTTATTCACCATGATCTTGAGATCTGCCATGCCTTGATATTTGTGCATACTTAAAATTATCATCATTGGGAATGTCACCATACAAACTGCAGTTCTCAATGCTATCCCAAGATTTACAGCCCAAAAGACACACCACAATCAGTGCACATGCATGGTCACACTA